GCGGGAGGTGGCGTCCGACCCCGTCCTGCGCGTCGCCCTTGGTGCAGCGCGGGGAAGGAGCCACGCTGTAGTGTTTGATTTATCATTCGTGGAAGGGACCGTCGCCTTCCCTTTTCTGTTAACCAGTTCCCATCCCGCCGCAACCCTGGGGTTCTTTTCCTCGATTTTGCAAACTGCCAACAAAGAAGTGCAGAGAGTCCAGTCGGCAGCCCCTGACGGCCTTGCAGGGCGAGCTGAGAGCGCTTCCTTGGAGGCGCTGTTCCACCAAGCTAGCCTCAGAGCCTTCTGGCCAAAATGAAGGGTGTCACTCCATGTGCAGCAAGTCTCTTTTTTCTCCCTTTCTAGGGTGAAAAGGTTTCAAAAATCGATATTAAATTATTAAAATCGGCTGATTGGGAATTACAACCATAGAAGAAAATAATGCAAAAGGGAAATAGAACCAGTATCTTTGAGGGGTAAGTGTCCCAACTTCTTGAAAGTGCCAGAGATGAAGTGTATGGATTTTTGAGATTAATGGGTGAATTGTAAATAAGCTTTTAATATACGATATTTTGCACTAAGATATTTTTGTTTGTTTCGTTTTAGTTACTTATGGAAATTGTGGATTACCTGGACATCTTAAGACCCAGGAACCCGTTTATTAAGCATCTGCTGTCTTGAAAAATGCATTTTATGAATGCTTTGAATTAAGAAGGTGTAAACAGTGGTTTGTCATTTCTGCCACATAAGGGATAATCTGAATCTTCCTTCGCAGTTGCCCAGATGCCTAAAACTGGCAAGAACTAGTACTTGGAGTGATCATCCTTCAACAAGAAATACAGAGCTACCTATGTACTATATAAATGTTATCTCTTTGATAACATTTAAGATAATGGACAGCTTTTCTACATCTAATTTTCATACACACAATTAACACTTGGAGTCTGGAGAAGCATTTGTTATATATTGAAAGACTGAGTTTTCTCTTTTTGAGTTTTCCAGATTTATTATTTCATCTGTATGCTTGAAATCTCTACAGTCACATAAACTCCAGACATAACGATGGAGCTATATGACCCATCAAGATATACAAAAACTATTGGCAAGCTTTGGAACCAGTTGTTTTTGCATCTGTTCAACAATTAATATATTCTCTGCTAATCAAGAATATGGAAGCAAATATAGTCATGCACATTGTATTGATAAATTGTGACTGTTGAATTTTTCTGTAACTGGTTACTTTTGTCATTCAAATGTAAGTTATGTCCAAATGGATATAAAGACTATATTGGTGTACCTAGCTCCTAGCCAGTGTTGAAGATAGAAAACCTATTATGACTAATCCTTGGGAAGAAAAAGTCTGCAAAATGGCCCAAACGAGTTTATTGCAAGGGAAGCAGTTTTACTGTAGGGAGTGGGTTTTCCACAAGCTTCAGCATTGCCTCCAGGAGAAAACCAGCTGCTGCAGTAGTGCTGTCAACACACCGTCCCTTGTGATGAATTCTGGGAATAATGCTGGTGCTGTCTCAGGAAAGGCAGCTGCCTGGGGTGTGTTGTTGGTAGGAGGGCCTGGTAGTGGCAAGACAGCCCTGTGTACTGAACTCTTATGGCCAAGTTCACCTACAAGCTTGCAGAGAGGTTTACATCGCCAGGCTTTGGCCTTTCATTTCTGCAAAGCCCAGGACTCTGATACTTTGTGTGTTGGAGGGTTTGTTAGAGGTTTGGTTGCCCAGATATGCCGCAGTGGACTACTCCAAGGATATGAGGATAAGCTACGAGATCCAGCCGTTCAAAGCCTCTTACAGCCTGGAGAATGTGAGAGGAACCCAGCAGAAGCATTCAAAAGGTAACAGCAAAAAATGTCATCGTGTTTAGGTTTCTGTGCAACAATTAGTGATTTTTAGCTAGGTTTTTTTTTTTTTTTTTTTGAGGTACTTTTACTAGTGCTGTGCAGTTGGGCTTAATCGGTGGTTATGAGTACAACTGTTTATTTTAGTATGGGAAGAAACAGAACAGAACTTTGTATTGCACAGTATATAGATTAAAAGTAAGTCTTGACTGTTCTTGTTAAGTAACAGAATGTTCCGTTTCTAACAGTAACTGTCAGTGGTAAGGGGAGTCTGTTCTTACGATAAAGAAGAACAGTTAGCTGCCTGGAAACCAGGCCTCATTTTCAGGGAGGATGAACTATCTATACTATGAGCTGAAGTAGAACAACGCTCGGTGTAGAAGCCAGTACCTTTTTGTTTATAGCATATTATTTTTTACATGAAAATTTCTCCTTAAAAGGCGTCATAGGCATTGAGAGTCTGAAGAAAATTTGCTAATGTGGTTTTGGGATTATTCCCATATTAACTTATTGAAAAGTTGAATCATAAGTTTATGTGACATAGTGAAAATTTGGGATTATTTTAGTGCTTTTAGTGAGTGGTGCAGAGAACAGTTTTCCCCCTAATTTTAGTTAAGCATTTGTTCATGGTGAGTGGACTGATCTAAGCAAGTTGCTTTTTGAAGTGGCTGCAGATTCAAAATTTGCTCAAGAAAACATAATTTCTTGAAAATATGATTTTTGCCTGTGACTTCCTTGGTCATTGTGAAAGTGGCAATTGGTTATTGTGTGCTGGCTGTTACCTCCCTTCTACTTGAGTGACTCATTTTGCCACACACCTTTCTCTCCCCATATTAACTAGGCTTTAGCAGGTAAAAGTTTGTGCCCCAAGGATTATGGAACACTGTGCACTGGAGGTTTGTATGAGTGTGTCTCCAGGAGGACTTGGAACAGTTTTGAGTAGCTGTGAAAAGGGGGATGCTTGTTTTTATGGTCTCCTCAAATCTAGTGTCATGAAATCTATAAAGTTTGAAGGTATATTGATAATATTTAGTAATTATAGCAAACAGTATGTTAGTCATTGTTCCAAGAGTTTTATAAATATTAAACCATTTCATCTTCATAATATTCTGTGAGGTCATCCCCATTTACGTATGAGGAAACTGAGGGGTGGAAAGGGAAGTAAACTGTCCAAGCTAGTTAAGTGGCATTTGAAGGATCTCTCTCCATATTTGTAATATGAGTTTCATTTAAGGACTTGATGAAAAGGGGAGTGATGTAGAAGTTGGTGTGCAGTGAAGTTGGAGAGTGAGGCTGGTTCACAGTGTGGCGAAGAATGAGGAATGGTAGTGGAGAACTTAAACTTGGGAGGGGTTATTAAACTCACAAAGTCTTGCTTTTGAGAAGTATAGGACTCTTGGCCTTTTAATCTGTCAGTGCAGTCCAGTAGAAGTCAGGGTGCGTCTTTTGGTCATCAAAATCAGGCTTAAAACTGTTACATCATTCACCAGTCTATGAGGATGTCTGAGTTAATGCTTGTGGCACGGATGGGAGATGGCA